GCCGAACGTCTCCCAACTTTCTATCTGATCGCACGGAGGCTTCGTTGACCCCAGCTTCTATGGCCCGCAGCACAGCCATGGCCTGAGATGGACGCGATGAATGCGAACAGGAATCTGTCTGCACGGATCGAGTCGAACCGGGACCGGGCATTGCAGAAGCCACATTTTGCATCTGATTGATTTGACACACACACACACATAGTGAGTCGTAACATCCTGCGGTCAACTGGTAGGAGCCCTGTTTCGGAAGTCGCACGGCGCTGGAAGGGGGTTGAAGCAGTGGACAAGGTTCTGTCGGGATCGTGTGGAACGTACGAGCAGATGTTATGATTGTGAGCAGCAATGCTAGCCGCCACCGTACGGGATGCCCGGTTGGCAAGGACCAAGGAAACCGAAGAAGCTCCTAGAAGCTCTGTGGGCAGTGCCCAGGCCGCGTTGACGCCCTCGGCACCCAGCCGCCGCGACTCGCGGGCTTCGCTCCCTGGCTAAAAAGCAAAGCTTCGAGCGATATTCAGGGCCTCCTTTTCGAGAAAACTTCCCCGGACGGTCCTCGAAGTGCTAGCATATCGAGCACGACAGCTGGCAGCGCTCTGCTAGAAGGGCTCCGAAGGTTGCAGTGGTTGTGGAGGAGTCTGAAGCATGCGCGCTCTACGAGACCTTTCTGGAAACTGTCGGTTGTTGCGTGCAGAGTGGGGACTTTGATAGGGGGGAGTTATTTTTGTGCTTTTATTTGTTGTCTTGGAGGGGTGGGTTGGGTGGGGTGCAGGAGGGCAGCTCGCGAGGTGTGGAGGCGGCGGGGGGGGGCTCGAGGCTCAAGCCTTTACATACAAGTGGGCTTCGAAGCAATGGAAGCAACACACCGTATTGACATGACTTCGATTAGATTTGATGCGATCTGTGATATAAACATTGTATTAATCTATATCTTATATGGATAATCATTCAATATGCATGTATATTGAGGTACATCAAACTGTTACATCACTAGTAAATTCCAGTTTTGCTAATGCTGCAAGATATGTTACAAGTCAGTCTAACGTTATATAAAAAGACTCGTATTGCTGTATGGTTACATGAGTACTATATCAAGAATATACAGAACTTGGCTAATATGTTCATAGACAACTACTCTTACTTACGATTGTCATTCTACATTAAGAATGTTGATGTTAATTCTGTTCTGCTTTCGTACAGAATAGTACATTATACCATAAAGCCTTACGGCTCATCATATACACCATATGATGTTTGTATCCTATTTTGTTCGGTTATAATATGTTATGTTATATTGGTTATATCATATCATGTTATATTCTTTTATATTAAGAATGTTAAGATTAGTTTCTATAATAGTATATTATACCACAAAGCCTAACCGCATATTATATACACCATATGCTGTTGAATTCTATTCTGTTTCTTAATACTATGTTACAATACATTGTTATGTTATATGAATATATTATAGTTTATGTGTATATGTATATACAAAAATATCTATATCTATATATATATATATACTACAGGATAACATAGGATAACTATGTTGCTTTGCATTATCTTGCGAGCTCCCGGCAGCCCCGGCACCCTGCCTGCACCCCACCCAACCCACCCCGCGCAGGCAACAAACAAAAATGACCCCTCCGTGTTGATACGTCATACATGAAGCATGAACCTCTTGGGAGAAACGAGCTTGCAGCAATCTTCCATCGAAGCTCCGGGGCCACTGGTAGGTAAAGAGGTCTTCAGCCACAAAAGGCTTGCACCTTGCTTGGAGTTGAGGTTGGGCAGCCAGATCAGCCGTCGAAGCTTGGAATCTGGTGCTTCCCGGATCCGATTTTGACGGCTCGAGAATATGAGTGTGGCTCTTGTATTCATGTTGGAATTGTATGGATGAGATGCCATCCACGACCAACTGCCCGCTACACGAAGCCCTCTTCGTAGTGTTCCCAATTCTGGCCATGGTTGTCGTTGCATAGGGATCCGCCTCGACGAGACACTATTGAAAAACCATACGGCACCCATGGACCTCCTGCGAGAGCACGATGGTCGGATCCAAGCGTTCGGCACGCAACAGGTGCATCGACATCCTCTGCCGGCAAGAAGAAGAAGGGTGCGCGCCTCGTGGTGGAGATGATGTGGATTTGGAGTCTCTTCTTGTAATCATTACCTTGGTATATCTACGTGTGGACGTGTATCATTCTGTTGCAGCTGATCTTTCGCACAGACGCTTCCGCAAAGACGAGCCTTGCTTCCGGTGTTGCGGCGTCTTGCAGTCCAATTGCACCTCCGCTCTTCGCAGAGGTCTGTGTGGTTGCATTTCGTCGGAAGTTGTGCGCCGAACGCTGTGACAGCAGATTTCTCCACATCTCTCTTTCACTATGTTGAACGATCAGCGTCCCTATCACCATTGACCCGACATGGCATTGCTCAAACAAATTGAAAACCTTTCAAGTCTCCACATGTGTCTCCAGGAAGGGGCTGTGTCGACCAAACCTTACCATGATGTCTCAGAAGTTGGTCTGGTCTGTTTTTGTTGCCGGCATGTCATCTCCCCACCGCATTGTCTGCAGTCATGTGTCACAGTCCTTGCCATATGGTTTTGCCAGGATTGCTGACATCTGCTGACGCAAACACTCAGACGGACTGAGACAGATCATGAGAGCAGCAGATAGGAAAAGCGAGAGAGAGAGAGAGAGAGAGAGAGAGAGGGAGAGAGAGAGAGCGAGAGACGGACAGCGAACACTGAGTCACATGGTTCAGAGTCCGCAGTGGAAAAAGCAAACAAGCAATTGTTCGGGCATGTTCGGGCTGGCATCGATCCAAGCTGTTCTTGTTTTTGCAAGGTTCAGCGCAGTGCAGTCACAGTGGCTGCAGGGAAATCAAGAGCACTGGTAGCTGGTAGGCCCATCGACAGCACTGTCGCCAGAAGGGTATTGTCAGCCACTCTCGTTCGCGAGTCTCGAACCGTGACCGAGCATGGTTGAGTACAGAGAGTAAGTGCAAAAGCGAGAGTGAGAACATGCGATCACTGGTGGGCTGCAACATCATGCAGCGTTTTGATGGCGAGCTGCAAGACCACGGACGTGCTTCGCTGTGGCTTTTCTGATGGTGGTTGAGGCTCCCAGATGCAGCCTACTGGTAGTCCATGTTCTGGTGTGGAGCTGCCGATGGCAGACTTGTTCCAACTCGCTCAGGCATCCTTCGACGTGCCAAGGCTTTCGTCGACAGTCGTCCGGTGGCAAAAATGTTCACTACTCTGTCAAGCATGGAGGTGCTTTCATTAGAGCTGTGCTGGCCGCTTTTCCTTTGGTGCAAGCAGTGCCGACGCGAAGAGTAGCTAGCACTCTCGTCCGAGCTCGGTCGTGCGTGCAGAAATGATCTCCAGTGGTTCGCTGCACCTTTGTGGAAGCATGCCTTGATGGCGGGGTCCCTGTAATCGAAGTTCTCGCCTGAGGTTTGATTTTGCCGCCAAAGCAGAAGAAGCGGCGACGACGTGCCGTGCTCGACAACTATTAGTATTTTCGGAATGGTCTACTCCTGAAGATGTGAGACAAGGGGAGGTACATGGGCTTGCAGGCATACAGTTGATCTTCAATAGTCTTGCTGATAGCGCGGGCTTGGCTGCAGCAGAGTGGGATTCCGGGATGCAGGATGTTGGACGGTTGGGCCCAAGCATCTCTCTTTGTGACCGTCATCTACCTCTACACAGCGCAGCCAGATAAGATCACGGGAACCACTCACCAAGGGGCCCGGAAGTTTGACCCCCTCGGCCGGTAACGAATCTTGAAGGGATGGTGCTTGCAGGCTCAGAGAACCTCAAGCACCTCGGATTGCCAAGTTGCGCCAACATGAACCCATGCTGGGGATGTTGAGGCTTTGCATCCAAGATAGCTGACGTTCTTGATGCCGGCTTTGCAGGGATGTCACGGACTATTGTGCTAGGCTGAGGGGTGTTGGAGTCACGGGTTGATGGGCGGATAGGCAGGATTTGAGGTATCTGAAGTTCGGGATGCGCGAATCCGACTTTGCGCAGATCCGATTAGATCGGAAGAGACTTAGGACCACCGCAAGCCGTTACCCTGGGACCCTGCCCCATCCGACCATCTGACCCTTTGACAGAAGGTGTGTTTACATTTACATGGTAAATTTCAGCTTAAGCAGCTGCACAGGGAATCTTGTTCATGTTCATTCCTCGCACGCAAACTTGAAGGCTTCAATTACACATACGGACCCCTCAATAGTCGCTCACTTGGCCAGTCCAGAGATCTGAAGTTCGCATCCAGCTCCATGTGCCGGTACAGGCAGCCTAGAGCAGTAGCAGTTGAATCATTAACGTCGCAAGCACACGGTACACTAGTTGTCAGGTGAACGGTCTGCTTGGCTTAGACTCACAATCTTGTCCAACTGTGCCACCCTCAGCCCCTAACACTAGTACTGACAGGCGGAATTGCAGAGTCCGCCAGAAAGTTCAGGTACGATACCTCTGCCTTCGAGGAAGCAAACATGCGAGCGCTCGCAGCCCAAGTCGAACAGGCGCCCCGAGCCATAGTCACAGTCGCATCCTTTGCTTCTCGAACTGATCTATCAGTTGCGTGGGGCGATCTCACCGGCTAGTGCATAGGCAGAGCTCAGTACAAACTGGGAACTCGCATCGACAGCAGCTTTTTCAGGCGAGGCAGGGCTGACTGACGAAAAAGACACTGGCCCACTTCCGTCCCGAGTACAATGCCTCCTCCGGCCCTAAGCACGGCACCGCACGAGGTTTGCAAACACCTCAGAGCCGAAGATGCCATGGATCGCGCAAGCTGCAAAGTTCCAAGTATCGAAGATACCGAACAACCTCCAATGTCATTCGCATCGCACCACGTGCTGTGTTTCACGGGCGCTTTTGATGGGCTTTCGTTCTGGATTCCCAGGGCCCCGACGTGCCAGGAAAATTGCACTGCAACATTCTGCGCAAATGTGTTATTTCCAGCCAGGTATCAACCTTCAGCCTGATGCAAGTGCGCCGGGGCCCCGGCTTGGCCCTTTCCAGAAGAGCTCTCAGTTCCGCAGCACGGCAAAGGCGACCTGCACTACCGCATGCCGGACCCTGCCAACGTGGTGCCGCCGAGCTTCCAGCAGCCGCCGCTACTCCCCGGCACACCTGCAGGAGCCTTGTGAGGAAGAAGCCTAGGTTTTGGTGAATTTGACAACAGAATCCCTTTGACTTAGCCCTGCTGGTCTTCGGCTTCTTACAGGGGTTTGGCCCGTACCAACCTATAGGTGCTATCCAGTCGAACCGCAGGAATCACGTACTCCGTCTCCAATCCCGAGCTCATGGACATGCAACGACCCGCAAGTCCCGATCCTTGGACAGCTTCTACGACTGTCAGCGATCCTGGGGCCGGGCGGTCTTCAACGCTCTTCGGAAAAGCTGTCTTACATGGTGGATGAATGGATTAAGCAGGATTCAATATTGTGCCGACAAGTTTGTCGAAGTAGGATTACTCGTAGTACACTCGAGAACATCTTGGCAAGCGGATATCATGTAGGCAAGCACCCGTGGCAGCATGGGGAGTGCTTCGTGGTTACGAATTTCGAGTACTTGCAACTGATGGTTATAGTGTGCACTTCTGCCACGGTGGTTCCACCGATTGCAGCTCCCATTTGAGGACTCCTTCACCACTACCGGCCGGCGCCAAGCATACACCGATCGGTGAGCGAAGCAGAGACACACCAGATACAACGATATTCGTTTCAGGTCCCTGCACGGCACACGAGCTCATTGCATGCTCTGGTGAACCCCCTGCAAGCTTCTAAGCACACGGCAAAGCTAACCTCCCCAGGCCTGTACAAGGGCGAGATTTAGGCCTTTTCAAGCTGCCTCTGCCGATGGCACATGGACGCTTTTCAAGACTGCATCTGCCACACCAAAGCCCTACCTGAAGTCCTTGCAGTACGTCTCCAATGGGTCTGTAGCGGAAAAGGCAGCCTGTCTGCGCATGGACTTTCTGGCTCTTGCCTCGATTCAGTTTTGGGCTTCGTGCCCCTCGCATCTGCCAAGCAGACGTGGCCTGGGACCGTGGGCAGACATGATCTCGAACGCGACCCTTAAACAAGGGCAAGAGAGTTACTTACATTTCCTTCACAACGGGACGTGTGCTTGGAAAAGTGAACTTCGTTGCAGCTTCCCCTGCCGCTTCCAATGGGCAACAGGTCCTTTCAAAAGCCATCAAGCAGATCGTCTACGTACCAAGCCCGGCGGAGGTACTCCGTGTCGCCGATGCATGTGGGCTTAGGCACCAGAGCACAACTTGACCTTGCGTCAGCATTTCACATCTCTCGAATTCCCTGTCTCCGGCGTGTTGTGTTTTCGAACTTCGCTTTTCGATGAGTTTAACTGTAACACCTTGTGCCGCTAGCCCCTCTTCCTTCCCGAACCCATGATTGTAATGAGGCTTGAGGCTGAGGAGTTCAATCTTCAACGACGCCTCAAGACCACTCGCCCCACGCCAAGAGAAAGCGTGTTCTTGCCGTCCAAGATGATCAACACGACACAAGTCGAAACAACCGACGACGGAGACAAAGAGCTGCAATCCAAGCAACAGAAACAACCAGGACGAATTTCAGAGAAGAGCCTACCGGTAAGACCTTCTGTGGCCAGGGTGTAATCCTGGGTACGGGGGCAGGGAATGGCTTTCTGAGGCGAATGTTGTTGTTGTCCTCGACAGACCGCCAGCAAACTGTGGACAGATGCAGACGCTGTGAAGCCTTCACAAAGGTCGGGCCCATGCAGGCACACGACATGAATACACGACCTTGCTGAGTATGCTAAGGCCTTTAGGACTCTGAAGCCCCAAGGCCCTTAAGGTTCCGAGAAGTGTTTCTCTGCAACGACGCGGACATGCAGCCAGTTACAAGCGATGGTGAGAACTGCCGGAACCTGGGGCACAGCACTCGGCCTGTAAGTCTCTGCATTCGAATCTATCGCCATGGCCTGACGGCGCAGCGTTCACAGCTGAGGGCTGAGGCATGTGAGAGACAGAACGTCCACCGACATGCAATGTCAGCTCGGGTAGCGAAGTGCTGCATAGTGTGCACTTCGGATAAATTTGGTCTTTGTGGAATGAAGGCCACCACAATTCTGTCGGTGTTGCTTCTCGCTCTAGTCTTTGTACAGATTGAGCCAAGGGTTTAAGTGAGGTGCTTGTCGCGTGTTGAGGCGTCTTCGCCATGACACCCTTGGTAAGGAGATTGCCGTGAACGTAGAGGCTCAAGCAAGCATCTCAAGGAGGGCTTCCAGTTTTCATCGGCCTGTGGCGAGTGCTGAAGTAGAGGTCCATCAGGATACCTCGGAGCAAAACATACAGCCACCCTCGCAATCGCGTCATCTCGCATCTGAACTTGCGAGGTGCCGCCTCGCCGATGATGCTGACATGGCAGATCGCTCCAGTTCGCGCAATCATGCGCCCCTGCCTGTCGTTTCTGAGTCTCTCCTCAAGCCTCTCGCGAATCGCCAGGTCACAGAGGGCGAGCTCTTCATCCCCTTTTCGGTCCTCCCTGCGAAAGGACCCGTCGAACCTGGACCCTCCCAATCCTGCACTCTGGAAGACACGGCACCAGCAAGAATGCCAAGGCTACGAGAAGAAACCGTAGAAAGCCGGAAGCTTTGAGGCTCAGAGGATGTAAAGCTGTTGCCCATCTTTTATCCTGTTCTCAGGGCCCGGGTGAAGCTCTTCGGCTCCTAGTCCTAGGCTCGTTCGACCATTGAAGGTGAATGCGGTGACAATGGGCCAGACTGCATCGCCGTAGACACATCCACTTTGAATCTGAAGCTCTGTTCAAGCGAATCGTAACAAAGAGATCGCTTCTCTCGCGCATCGTCTTCCACAACCACTCGAGTGCAATGGTGTTGAATAAAATCTTCGTCGGAGCTTTTGTTACCACACCGTTCTTCAGCACCTTCTAGCTTCAAACGACATGGATCATGGACCCAACTTGCCCATGCAGTCCGGAAGGACGGCTACCCCACACATTCCCTGAGTCTGCATAACTCTGCAAACAGTTGGCGCTTTCGATGAAGGATTCGGTGTGGCGTCGGAAGCTGCTGTGGGAATTCGGCTACGGAAGGGCCCTGAGTTGCTCAGCACCTGCATCGCTCAGCTTTAGACGAGAACTGATACGTCTGGAAAGTGTTGGCCCATGTTGTACGATTCCTGGGATTTCTCTCTGTGCTTTGCCGCCCGCGCCTTGGGCGAAGTACTCCACGGGCGATGAGCGCTCGGAGAGTCATGACGACCATGTCTTCTGGCAATGTCCACGTTGTGCCTCCGTTGCTTTTCGGCTGTGCTCAATCGCAAGACCCCTAGTCATGTATGGTGCTGCATGTGATGTGCGACGCGAACTAGAACTCGGTTCACAGAAAGCCGAGTCCACTCGGGAAGCCATGGGAAGCCAACACCCATACTAGTCTGACCGGCGCACGCCCTAGTCGGCACAACATCTTGATGCCAATAGATTATTCCAAGTTTGATGGCTGCGGCGAGGACGAGGCCTTGACCTGGTAAGCCCAAAGCCCCGAGCAGAAAGGCAAGTCCAGGTGTTACAGGCATTCCACGAGGCTCTTCCACCATGGCGACAGCGTTTCAATCCTCACTGCATCAGGATGGAGATGAGGACATCCTCGATCGAGGTCGGGGAGGGCTGGACACTAGCTTGGAGCTTGCAGCTCCGGTTTGCAACGCAGCCCGATGGCTACGATGCAAACAGCTTGCAACATGCAGGGTGCAGGGACACTAGACGACAGCTACAGGCATGCGATGTAGTGTGTGCAATCTGTGCTTCTGCGGGGGCTTCCGGCCTCCTCCTAGCCAGTGATATCAGGAGATTGGCAGAAGCTGCTTGAGCTCGTGAGAGCGGAGGCCGAGGCTCCTGAGGCCCGGGGGCCAAGCGGCCGAGCGAAGCGAAGCAGCGTCCAAGAGCCTAAAGCGGTGCTCAGCGGAGGAGTTTGTGGTCCTGTCAAACTCTGCACAGTGATCCCTCAGCCCGTGGCCGCTAGGCCGTCTGCTCGAAGGTGCTTCGGTTTCTAAGATTCCCACCTGAGCCCACTTGGTGTACCAAGTCCACTCCAAGATGGCGACATGAGTCAGAGCAGTGTACAACAACACCAATCATTCCGGCGTTCCGAAGTTGCGACATGTTCGATTGGGCTTGGGAGTCGAGCTGATACAGGCCCGCGATACCGACCCTCGTCGGCGGACTGGCTTGCCCGATGCCGAGAGCGCAGTCTGGGCTTCGGGATGCCTTCGCAATTACTGGTTTTGCAGGATGGGGCCCACAAAGTTTGAGCCGATGTGCAGGTAGCTTGAGTTGGAGTGCAAAGAAGACCCTGAGATATCTTGAGATGCAGTCAAGCTGGACTTCACAAGACATGCACCCAACCAAATGCTATGCTTTAAATGCCAGGAACCCCGAATCAAGTCCCGGACCTCAGGGTTTGGCCAGGTTCGAGGATGGATTCGATTTCGGCGCCGAGCTGGGCTACGATCTCGGCTGCGACTTGGGCGTCGAGCAGCCAGGCCTGGGCGCAGGGTGAAAAACCTTTTCTTGTCCCTGAACCCGAGTCTGCCGAACCCACAAACCTGGGCTGCCTTCACCCTCCTGCAGCAGAGACTTAGAGAGAGCTCACATGTTCTTCCTGTATAGGACGCAGGAGCCACAAATCGTAGTTGGAGCCAGCAAACGCCGGCAGACATGGAAGACGTGTCGGTCAGCTTGGATTTCGACACATTGCGGGAGGAGGCGACTTGCACCAGCATTTGAGCATTCCGATGCGGCTTTTGTTGGAGTGCCGGTGCTTGCTGACCTGCTCAGTGTTTCGGCCCTTCGCCCAGAACACATTCCAACATAGACGTTAGCAAAGTTGGCACGTGCAGGAGGTTCGGTTTTGTATTTTGTGAGTGATCGCAGTTGTGCTGCGAATAGCTGCGACGACGAAATGCTGCGAAGACGAGCAAGTTTGGACTGGGCAAAAGTTGAAGTGGAGGATGCATCGGGATGTGTTTGAAGATAATTGAGGATGTTGCAAGTCTTGGTCTAGAGCCGGCATCAAATCCTACATACAAGGCTTGGCAGCTTCTCTGGAAGCGCCTGTTGTCCACGCGCGCTGCAGCACTGGGCGCACAGTCGGTGCAGCGGGCACTGCTCCTGGAGGCAGTGATTCTTCCGTCCGGTCTGGAAGATTGGTAAGACCGGCAAGACTCATTATGCAAGGATTGGGCTGGCAACTTGAATCAGGGTTCGAGGTGTTCTCTGGGCTCGCCTCTGTTTTAGGCACGAGGCCCTTCTGGTACCAGTAATACTGCGTAAGCTTCTTTCCATCAACACGCTGCAACTCGAAACCATGGATAGGGAGGGTCACCAGCCCGCAGCTATGCAATGACAGAACCGACCATACTGCTAAAGGCATCACTCGATTCGATAAACACTTACCATGCTGCGCCCTTCCATCTGACCAGTTGCGAGGCGGAGCTGCTGCTTCGCCAAAGAAAGCACCACGAGGCAGAGATTGCGAGCGTGCGTGCTTGCCCAGCAATGGCTTCCAAAGACCTCAGTTCTGTTTGCTCCACATACGGGCTGAACGCTATGCCAGCGTTGCGGTTCAAGCAGAGACCCGGCTTCAAGCGTAGACCTGAGCCGGGGTGAGACTCTGAGAGGCCTTTCTTGCTGCCTGGGCGCTGCGCTTCAGTTCAGGCGACGAGGCGCAGGCACGGCCCAGGATCTGCAGAGTGCAGAGCAATGCAGAGCATGCATTTTCGAGAGGTTAGCGACAATCACTCCCGGGTCTCGAGCGAATGCGTGACTGGTCTATCCCAGCGATCAGTCGCGGCACTGCGACGTGTGAATGTGCAGTCTCAGCTCGCCTCGTAAAGGCTCAGTTGCGATCTGAATGTAATGGGTGCTAGGCTCCCCAGATCCGCACGTTCACTTTAGCCCGCTTGATTCGAGAAGTACTGCTTCGAAATTAGGTCACCACTTACCATGAGCTTCTTTCAGCCATTTTCAGCGCTAAGAAACCCTTCCAACGCTTTCCAACTACTGTAGCCAAAATGCCTTCTGTCCACATGCATCCGCATTGTCCCTGTTTGCACAGCCATGCTGAACTTTCAGGTGCCCTCACTCGCGGCTGAGCTGCCGCAACTTGTTCCTGTGCCTCAGCTTTGCCAGATGAAGGGTGGAGTTACGAGATCAGCTGTCAGAGTCTGGCTTGGCGTGCTTGCGAGCCGGCTTTGCCGGTGATCGTGATGAAAGACCATACTTGTGCGAGTCAAGCAGCGACGGGCATGAGCCCCTAAGATGCAGGAATTGCTGGCGTGGTGTGCTGTAAATGCCCTCCCCCCCATCCGGGCTCCGCCTCCTTCCTGTGTGTGTAGAGGAAAAAGAGCCGATAAATAAAAGAAGAAGCTGCTCCCTGGCGAAACCACAGCGTGGCAAGAACAAATCACCAGCGAAATGGGCTTAGCAGGAACTCCGAAAGAAACCGCAAGTGAGCAGATGAGACTGAGGCTGTAATGCCTGTGTGCTTGGTGTGGGGCTGCAGCTGGAAGATGAACTGCCTCCTACTCGTCACTAGGCTCTCAAGTTTTAGATGTGAGTCCGATGTCGTCGGAGGCAGAACCTGTTCCGCCGAAGTGCTGGTTGGCTTCCTGTGCCGTCGTCGAGATGGTTTGCCGGAGCCTTTGAGTTTACGGCCTTATGTGCTTGATTGTAGACTTCTAGATTCTAGATCGAACCCGTCATGCAGTCCGTAACAGGTGGTTTGTAAGGCGGTGATGTGGCTTAAGCGGTCTTTCCTAGCCAAGAGTGCAATCTTTGCTGCAACTGCCTCAGAAGTGTCAAAGGTTCTAAAACCTCAGGTGGTGGCTTTGCCTCCGAAGCGGAGTTGCCGCACGAGGAATGATAGGAGTTGAGCGGTGATCAGGTGCTTATCAACTCGGTGACCGTGAACATGCAGTGGTCCTGCGCTGCTCGGTCGACTGAGAAACATAGCTCTGCCACAGCTACCGGATTAGCACAGCTGAAGGACTCCGCAAGGCTGTGCAAATCTGCGCATTTTTATGTCCCGCACGTGATGCGTGTAGATATCGACATAGTGGATTTGCCCGTGGCTTTTGTTCTTCGTTGGATTGATTCAAGAGTACATTGCGGACAAGCTGCCCTTTCTTGACATGACAATCAAGTGTCGTTTGACTGCGAATGCCGAGCTACTACGCAATAAGAGCCAGAAACCTGCCAGCAAAGCACACCCAAGGAGAAGCGCTCCTGCAAGCAGACCGCAGTTTACTCTCCAGGTGCGGCTGTGGACCATGATTGACCGTTGCAGGGTCGGCATCAACGGGCGAGCACTAAAGCGACGGGAACTAAGCCACACCTCACACATGGCCTGCGACAGCGGTCCATGTGGTTTTCGCGAGTCTTTGCTTCCTTCAGATGGTTTCACAAGCCTTGCCTTACCCGGCTTACCCCCGCCCGAGTCCCCGCCTCTCCATCACTCTGCGGGGAGGGGATCTGCCAAGAGCGCAAGCTCTTGAGTGCTTCTAGCAGCACCCTCTTCAGCTTCGGCATCTCCATTTTCCCAAGCTGACTCGGGCCTCTACGTAACTTTTGGGGCGAGACTCCATCAGAGGTAAGTCTTCTTTGGAATCATGTTCAATGTCGCTGCGGCATTTGCTGTTAGTTTTCAGGCAGGGCCATGCTCTCTTGATTGGGTAGGCATCGAGCAGGCAGTTTCAGATCTCCAAAAACCAACGCTCCTGATGGCATGGCTGTTTTTTTTACATAGCCCTACTGTCCAAATCGCGTGATTCAAGCCGTCAGCGAGCCACAGTCCCACCCTGGCCAGGCACCTTCAGAAGCGTTTCGAAGGGACGGCGGAGGCAAGCTCTTTCATTGCAAAGCCGTTCAATGACCCCTCTCTCTCTCGCTGCCTCTCGAGCTCTCTTGCTCTGACCCTCTCGCCCTGTCACCTGCGGTCACTCTGAACTTTGGACGCAGCGTGGCCACAAGCCAAGGTCTTGGACTTCGTCCCTCAGTTCTTGAGTCTGCTGCAGGCAAGCGGTGTCTCCAAGCAGGGACACAGCTCCGATTCCGAGACGAATGCACTGCGCGTGATTAGGGGGGGAAAGCCGAGTCGTAACGTCGAGAGTCTAGGTTCCCCCGAATAAGCCGGTCTTGGAGATCATTAGATCTCCCTTGCCTATGCCTCCTTCTAGCCAGGATCACCGGTCACCACGGGCAAGTTCTGACGGCACACGGCGGCTGTAAGAAAAGGGTAGGCACCGTTCGGTGCACCTGGGAGAGCTCCAAGAGGGAGAGTCCCAAGAAAACCAACTCGCCCAGGAGCGTCGAAGGGCTTCCGGACATCGGCTCGACGAGGCGATCGCATGCCTCGCCGCTTGTGTTCACTACGTCACTACTACGTGACACTACGCCTCCATGGTGAAACAGATTGCTCTCGGTCTCGTTAGGCTCTGTAGACTGTTCAGGTTGGTCATCGGCTTTCGCTTTGGCACCCTTGCTGCTCGGTCGCAGTGGCTGCGGTCGTGCTATGTCGTGCTCTGACCAAAGCCCGACGCTTTGATCTGAGATTGCCGTGAACACCATTTCCTTTCCTCGCCATTGTTGACGGTTCCATTGGCCAGTATCCGTCGAAGCTGTCTGTGTTACAGATGTGCAGTGAGTCATCCCAGGTCTCGGAGAACCGCGTCGGGAAGGGAAAGGAGGTGAGGGCATGCTGGCCAGCGGAGCAAATGTTTGAAGATGAATAAAGAAACACACCGACCTTGAGCTCCTACTTACTACTTTTTTATCACTCCTGTTGGCAGCGCCCCGTGTGAGATCAGCGTCAAGACCCAGCTGGGCCTGGTTTGCCAAGACAGTGCCTGGGTTCCAGAGGTGGGCCGAAGGAATCCGAAGGGTGTTATTGCTCGTTCTGGGATTCTGGAGGCAGAGTATGGCACAGTCCAGTTGGAGGCTTACTTACGTCGAGCGTTGATCGTTGAAGGAGAGCTTGATTCAAAGAAGCGCTGTCGCGTGGAGATTAAGACGTGAAGCAACTTGGGCGCTATCGAAACAGCAGCTGGCCAGGTTCCTCGATACATAGCAGTTGCAGGGGACGCGAATCTAGCAAGAAGTTATGCGGCGACATGCCACGTAGGCGGTCGCTAGCTTCAGCTTTTCGGAGCTCGGGTTGAAGCACGGAAGCCAGGCCACGCAGAACAGCGGCCTGGCCAGGGTCCCAGACGTTGCCGGCTCCTACTCCCAAGCACATCACTTCTCAAGCCATGAATTTGGAGCTTGGCTTGAGGCTCGGCAAATTCATTTTCAGAACGATGGGTCATGTTCCCGTCAATTTGGGCACTTACTCCACTTATTGCAGACGTCGGTGTTTTGCTGGGATTCGGGTGGGTTGTCCGCGTTCCTGTGAAGCAGTTGGCCGAAGTACATATGGAAAGCTTCAGAGTTCCAGACAGAGTAGATCTACGAATTGCAGGCATGCTGTAACACACCTTTCGAGTCGGCATGGTTCACAGCCGAAAGGCGCTTTCGCTGCATTTGCAAGCTGATGCAAGCTGCCTCAAACACTAAACGGCCGCAGATCTACCGCTAAGGTTCGGGTCGTGCTGCCTCCATCTCTCTTGGACCTCGCTTCGAAGGGCATCTCCTGTAGGCTCAAGGTACAGCCCTGCCCAGTTGATTGCATCCAGTTTCGGTGCATGTATGACACCATCACCAGACTGCGGCACCGGACACTGCCTGTGTATGCATGCACAAATCTGATGCTGTAGGATAGGCGTATGGTTCAGGATTCTCGTTCACGATGTGCGACATTCAATAGATCTGTTCTCTATTGACACACATGGTTTGACACACCGTCAGTATTGACTGTTTCATGCAATACAACAAATCGTCAGGGTTCAAGTTATGTGTCCTGATGCGCAGTGTCATGCAACATATTTAGGAGCATGTTGCGAGTGCACTCTCCGCAAGATTCTGTAAGTACTCCGTGCTTGAATGTACCGGTTCCGGGGACGTTTCGTCCAATGTTGCCTAATGTTCAGACGTGAGATGCATTTTGGATGAGTTCAGTGCAATCGAGTTTGATTCACTGTAGTGTCGTGTGAAGGTGTGTGGTGAGTCATTTCGATCTGCTACGCTCAGTCAGGAAATAGTGTCGGGTTCGTGTAGTTCGATTGCAATTAAACCGTGTGAACTTGTGGATGCCGTCCTTCATTCGCAATCGCACTGGAACTGCAGAGTCTACACAAGTTGCTCGTGCGCTTTGCTGTCTCGTCTTGTACATCTGTGTGCGTACACTGAGCCCGCCGTCTGTCATGCCCTCCGGCGTAGCTTCCGTCCGAAACTGTGTTTGGCTTCAGTTGCCCGCATGGGGCGTGAGTGCTTCTATGGGCCGGTCTCTGCAGCGAGAGCCCTTGTCCGGGGCCCAGCAGATGTGTGCATCATGACATATTGCAAGCACACGACTACTTCCGTTGCTTGCGTGGGCGTGCAATCTCTGTGTGGATTACGCGCTTCACTGTGGCCCTAAGTTCACAAGCAGCATGGTTGGAAGGAGCAGAAAAGTGAACCATCAGTTCAACATTTTTTTCGCACGGCTCTTCGGCAGCTTCGCGCCATCCTGCGATGTGTCTGCAGCACGGCTTCTTGGTGGGTTGGGTGCCGTCCACCCCACGCCTCCTCTGCTCAGAAGCCCTGCAGCGGAGTCTTGCAGCTTGACCAAGGCATGCCGCGCACGGCCCAAAGCCGTGGCTTCCCTGGGCCATGCCACGGCGCCGCGGCTTTTCTTCGCCCTCGCCTCGCTCTTACGTCTCTGTGAGATGCATCAGCCATAGGTTGGAAATGCAGCTTCACGAAAGGTGTTGTGCCTTGTCACAGAGCAATGGCGAGAGTAGTTCCTGATGCTCGCTTGAATCAGCAGGAGGGATTCCCAAATTAGCTGCAGTCCTGCGCTTGGCACATGCTCAGCCGTTCGACAGTGTCCAGCTTCTGCATGTGTCACGCCTATCTCTCTGTTTCTCTATCTCTCTTTCTCTCACTCTCACTCTCTCTCTCTCTCTCTCTCTTTGTGCTATTGCTTTTGCCATTGACACGTCACACTGCGGAACCGTATTATTGTTATTAGTATCATCATGATGATGGTTATACAGTTATACATCATTATTGTTTTCATCATTATTGTCATTATTGCTACTATTGTTATTCTTACTGTTATTACCGTGATTGTCGTTATTGTTGCTACTATTATTGCCAAAAGAACGCATTGGGCTTCATGGCCCCATGGTTCGCATGAGGCTCTGTGTGGGTCTCAGCTTGATCGGAGCCTCAAATCTACAACGTACTTTCAGCCATGCGCAGAAGACAAGATGCTAGAGTTCACATGTAAGGAAGCCTCGAACCTTTCTCTGCCATTTACTGGTTCAGAGGTCGCAGCACTCGTCCCAGCGGCCTGGGGCCAGGTGACGGGAATTCAGCGGAGTTGCCGTAGCCGCGTCTTACGTCACCGGCTTGCTGCTTCCAGTCCTCCCGGTTGTACTTGTGCCCAACGGGCGCGCCAGGTCCCGAGCGTCAGCGTGACTTCTTTGTCCTTCGCGGACAAGGCGACAAGCGACGAGCATCAGCTTCGCAGTAGGCGACACGAAGTTCATGGTGGTTGACAGAATACTGCATCCACGGGGCTGTATCCTGCTTCTTCTAGGACTCAGACAACAAGACTTGTTGGAAATCACACTGATGAGATATTCATGCCTACATTCGTTGATCCTCGTCACCAGAATTCCCGACGACAGAAGCTCAGCCCACCAGGATCTGGATGCCAACGAGCTTGGAGGGCCAGTCACTTGGCAGCCGCCCGGGAGCACCGCCACTGCCGGGAGGCTCAGAAAAGATTGTCGAAGAGAGTCTCACAGCTTTGAAACTCCGACACCCATAGCTGTGTCGTTTCTTTCAACAGCCTCTCGCGACGCACAATCATCAATCTCAATCACAGGGCAAGCAACATCAAAAGCCAGACTACTAAGCTCAGGTCACCCACTACGATGTATATGTGGCCACGGACTCCGCGGGAACCGCTCGATCTGCTGTGGCGGGCTTGGGCCAAGCATTCCAGCTTACTGGTCGCTGCTGCATCGGATTTTGCTTCTAAGTTGATCCAGCTTCATGAAGGCCCCGAAACCTCCGTTGCCATCGCCGAAGAACTGCAGACAGATGCACCTTTGAACGACAATTGATTGGTACACTCTCCTGCCCAGAAAGTGAACTCCGTCCACGTGTGTTCTCCGTTCGTCACAAAAGCTTGCAGACTATGATGACTGTGTAGTGCAAGGTGATGTTGTGGAAGTTCAGTGAAGTGATCGAAGTTCAAGATTGCACAACTCCAGCAAAGAGCTAAACGGAGTTTGGAGTTCTTCTTCTGTAAGCTTGCCCGCGTCTCAACATCTTGGCCTGGGCCTGTGTACACGTGCATCTTCTGTGCATGTACATTGAACGTTCTTGCCTCAAGATCCCCGGTAGCCAGGTTGTTTTCTACAGTGCAAGCTCTTCAGAACTGCAATGCTGATAGCTTGTCCTGTCAAGCTATCGAAAACGATGAGATCGTGCCGGCGGGCATAAACGAGGGACAGAGCCTGTGCAAGTGCCATTCGAGTACATGTTCGTCTGCATGTTCGTTCCACATATATCTGTATGTCTAGCAGCGGACATAGATAGACATGCAGACCTTGATGGAGATCTTTGTTTCGTTTACGTACCTATCTATACCTGTGTTCACTTTGTTGATGCATCGCTGCTTTGAGACTGAGGTCAGCCTTAATGTGCCTGTTGGCACGAACTCGGCTACGGTGGCTGACAATACAGCACTGGGCTCGTGCGCAAGAGTCAACAGTGGTCCTGGTAAGACACCAATTTGCAAGGTCAGGGGTCGCAGCTTGGCGTCCGGAAGAATGTAGAATGTACAACTGAGACGGAGCTTTGATTTGCAATTCTCTGCTTCCTCGCGATCAAGCAGAAGCGTAGCAAATTGGTGAATTGCCTACCGCTATCGTGAAAGCGTCGAGCAATCTGGAACTGCGTCCGTGGAGTTCAGCGGGTAGCTTCTCAAAGGCATGGGATGTTGCAGCAGGTACTCACATCTCGTGGTGTACACGGCTAACGGGAACGGCCAGCAGGTGCACCATCACACGGATTTGCATGAGAGTCCATGTCCCGTCCCGGCCCGTCCCTCTTCTGGGCTCCAAGGCTGCAGGGTT